AATACGACAGATGTCATATTAGTCTAAAGTAAAAATATCTATACGACAGAAAAGGAGTAATGAAAAAAAAAGACATATTATTTTTCTTCTTTTGCAAGTCTTTTGAAATTACTAAATGAATCATTATTCTCTTTTCTTTTCACTCACTATTCTTTACATTATTTCTATATATTTGTGTGCAATATATTTATTTTTCCTATAGAAGCTGCTTTAGTAATATATCTATAGAAATAATTTTTTACATAACAACAAATAATAATAAATTAAATTGTTATTTTTTAATCTATTATTTCTAGAACAATGGAATCAGAAAAGAAACGTAAAAATATTGATGATCAAACAGATATTAGTTCGAAGTTAATAAAACTAGATAACCCATCACCTGAAACTCAAACAGTATTACTTCCTCTACCAACTATTGTTCATTTGCGTCGCTTAAAAGGAAAAATTGTACAAGATTGTGATATATATATTGGTCGTGCTTGTAATATGGGTGGTTGGCAATTAAAACAAAGTAAATGGCATAATCCTTATTCAGTTAAACAATATGGACGAGACGGTGCTATAGATCGATATAGAAAATATATTGAATCTAATGAAAATAATTTACTCAATGATCTTCATGAACTTAGTGGTAAAAAATTAGGATGTTGGTGTAAACCTAGTCCATGTCATGGAGATGTTCTTCGAGAACTTTTCAAACGAGAAGTTCAACAATCATCTAAAACTTTGAATAATTGAATATGAAAGACAAGGAATTATATAGTTAATATATTATTTAAAATAATATTTTTTATATATAAATAAATCATATAGTTAAGAAAAAGCTCATTTCAAGCTTTAGTCTAATTTTTTTATTTCTAAACAATATTAAATCAGTTTTGAATAAAAGTATAGGAATACTGTGATTGTATAAATGATTAATTCATTCTCACTTCTTTTCCACCTCAAATAGAAAACTATTTGATTATAATAATAATAAATTTGTTATGAAACATTTTCTGATAATTTCGAACCAAAGGAAAAAAGTCTACTAGATTTTAATGTATAATTTAGATGGAAGAGAATTTTATTTGTTGATATAAAAAAAGAAGAAGAATAAGACAAACTAAATAGATTAATGACTAGAATTGTAATTCAATTCTCATGTATATAACTCAATAAAACTTACAAGGATCATATGTTTTTAAAATAAAATTCAAACTGTATGAAATCTTTTACTACTAATATGTGAAGATTTACTTTTTTTGATGTTCTATTGAATTTCATAAATATATATTATAATTTTATTCGAATATTATTTCTTTTTCTTTTTTTTTTCATATGACTAATAATTGAAAGACATAAACTTCAACGATAGTTACTATTAAAAAGGAATATTTTCTTCTTCTATTAATGTCGTATGACTGTTTGTTTTAGTTATCAATGTACGTAATGATATTAAACTTCGTTTTGGATGACAAATAGACCATGTAAAATGAGCAATTATAAGAGGTGCCATTTGAAATGCATAAAACCATTTTTCATTATCATTAATTCCAGTATACAAATCTGATGTTGATTCTGCTACGTTGAAGGCAGCAACTATGATACACATTGTGCTTGAAACAGACATTAAAATAATAGCTTTTATTTTCATATCATTTATTGTTTTACTCCAAAACCATACTGGATAGAAAAGAAGAGTTACTGTAAGTAAGATTGATGAAGATAATTCTCGAAAAATAAAACTTGTTTTAATTTGATCAGAATTGAATGAAAGCATATTAGCTGGTGCCATTAGAATACCAGATGTAACAACACATAAAATAGCACCGAGAAGAATAGCACGTGAACGACGTGATTTTTCATGATGAATTTCCATAACAAAAGCAAAATTACTAACAATAATCATGCGTTGACCAATAGCAAACAGACTATTAAGAACAGTAAAAACAGTTTTCGAATTTTGTTCTTGTGGATCAACTACTGCACGAACGATGAGTTCAAGAAAAATAGTTAGATGCGAAATTAGAAGAAGAATGCATATACGAGGTGGTCGAAAACGAAGTTGACATGATTGAATAAACCAAGCAATGAGTGAAATACATGCTACACCAGCAACAGAACCTGCAACAACTCGATTTGGAATATAAGTTGGATAAGGATATATCAATAAATTATTCATAGTAATTAGTTTTTGTATGTGGTATTATGTAGATTAGACGAGCGAACTTCGATAAATTTTCACTACGAAAGTTGGATATATATTTTTTATAAATCAAATACAATGACATATGATATAGTTACTTTGAATCCTTTTTTTATCTCCATTGGTTAGATTCAGGTAAAATGATAACTTGTAAAGAAAACGAAACAAAATTAAATAATAT